TTGGCTTTTTCACTTGGCGCCGACGTGACATGAGTTTGCCTGTCAAGGGTGGTACGATTCATACTGCTTTATGCATCAGAGACGTGGCCTCCACGCGCAGAGGACATACGGACGCCGTCAGTGTTTGATCATCGGTGTCTCCGAAGCATTGGTCGGGTCTGAAGGGAACATCCCATCCGCAACGCTGAGGTAAACCTGGTGGTTTTAGGAAGAAGGAACTCTCTCGTGATGAATGAATTACTCACGCTTCATAGGTTACCCTGGTTAGAACATGTACCCCACACTCCAGAAGTCCGCCCGCCTCCAAGAGCTCTTTTCGCAAGAGCTCTTTTCACTGAGTGAGAGCAACCGAGAGGTGGACAGTGTATGACCGGGCAACGAAGTATGAGAACACTAACCAGTAAACCTAATCGGGACGACAACTGCCGCCTTCCTGAATGGGGACCCCGGGACACCAGTAGTTAATGACATTGACAAAAATGTTAAAATCGCGCCCTCAAAGGCGTTCATGCATCCAAGCCTTCAATTAATAGCACCCACTACAATCCTTCCACTTGACACTCCACTGAATAGTGTATAACTTATACACACGTATCGTGATATCTTGAATATCATACCAAATGAAACATGAAGCGGCCTGGTGTAGCACATATAGTGGCTTGGAAACATCATAAACGAGAGGTTCAGCTGGGTTCCAGGTGAGTCTCCCGTCAAAACAAAATTGGTATGCAGATGATGGTATAAGTCGAGCTCACCTGCAATGCTTGTGTCGTAAAACACACTTTGTACTGAAAAACTGCAGGAAATTCACCTTGGCGTTGACACCTGGCCAGTTCGATTTACTTGCGGTGTACTAACAAGTGCCAGGACCTTCCACAAATATCTGACCACTTCGGTAGTCCTAAGAAACATCTTCGCACGACCCATCTAAAAGAGTACTTGAATTTGTCCGAATAAGACCATGTTCCACAGTCTTGGAGAATACATGCCATGTATGTGTGAAGGTATCTTCTCGGTCATAGCATTCGCTTACGATCAGAATGAAATCGGTGTCATCAGTTTTAGTGAAGATTCTGAAAATGAGTGAGGGCCAACTAGTGGGAGAGAAGTCGTGGTTGAGTTGCCAGCTTTCAGAACCATACTTGTTGAAAGAGGAGCAGTCTTATTGCATTTCTGCTGATTCCACTCCAACCTACCGCTCTTACGATATTGACGGACCCAGGCCTGTTCTATAAAATCTGCTTCATGGGCGTTCTCGGATGTTCATCTCAGTAAAACCTAGAACAACGATGCCCGAAATTCAAAGAAGTGTCACTTTGAGAAACGCTCAACCATATTCAGTCTCCTGGATCTGGGTGAAAGTTGTAGAAGTTTTTGATCGTCTGTTGTATCACCTGACGTGCAGAAGTCAAGAAAAGTTTAAATGCTTGATCGTTTTTTAAAGATTCTGGTAAATATTTCACGTCAAACATAGTATTTGGAGAACCAGCTCCGAACGTAACGGAGCTACATAACTGCCAATGGAATAACCGTTTTTCGTTGAGACATATTTCATTGGTCGATCCTCACTCGTCCCTGACAGATGAGTTGTAGTCTTAGTATCAGTTTTGTTTTGATCCGCTTGTACGCGACAGTGATTAATATATCAGTCGGTTCGCACGTTTTTTTACTTCTTCTGGTTTGACCAAGTGCACCAGGCAATCAATCGGCTATCCAGACCCGGGTTCACAATAATAAGAAGGTATTAAAGTACTGTGGTCCACAACACATCGAAAACGACGAATTTTCACTTTGACAGTGAAGTATCCTCATGCTGCACGTGATCGACTGTTACTCAGATTTCACTATTAGCCCCCTGCCTCCTTTGAGCAGTGGCTGATTTTTTCTGATCACATGACTTCTGCTAAATGAGCTGTATGCTCCATGTGAATACTGATCACTACTCTCACAGAGACTTTGCCGCTGCGAAATGAGGAGTGGCAAGCTCATGAGTTTTCAGCCATTCGCTAGAAAATCGAATACAGATGTTTCATTGTACTGACTGCTTCATTCGTCCTTGCCCTGGCTGATGTGGCGTGCTACTACTGTAAATAGTTTTCAGTAGTGAAGATTTGGTGCCCAAAAACTTTCCAAACAACTTGGCCTAACCCCATCCAAAAACCTTTCAAAACGACAACTTATTTTTCATAGTAGAAAGTTCTGATTCTTATTCTGGTCCATCCCCGTGACCTTACCAACGAGATCTTCTCTTGCGTAATAACACGCCATTTCAAACGACTGTCCGATCGATCCGAAATCGAGGCCGATGTACGGACGTGATGCCGAATGAGGGTACAGTCGACTTCTCTCGAGTTGAGAGCAACTACATCAAACAAGTGCTTGGAGAACCATTGCATCATGCGCTCTGTGCCATTATACTGTACCAGCCATCAGATCCGATCGATTTTTTGGCCAATTACCTGCGTTATTGGGTGAAACACGTGAGAACCTATCGAAGGGTAAGCTGTCTGTGAATAAATGATACTTGCCAGGTCGCGAATGTTATGAATTGTAAATTATCCCTGTGTATAGTTTTCCATCACGTCGAGCTATACCATTCTTCTGTGTGTGTGACATCTCATGTAAAATGACAACTCAGGTTTTGATAAGAGTTTGAGGAGGTTCTATCATCATCAGCATCATCATCACCATCATCATCATCATCGTTATCATCGTCATCTTCATCATCATCATCATTATCTTCATCGTCATCATTACCATCGACGGCATGACATCAGTGCTCAAGACTGGTACTTCATTGTCGTAAAACCATGATTTATTTGAGGGCGTTATTGTGAAGAAAGCAATGAAGGCGGACCTAGAAGGACAGGCTGAGGGCTTACCACAATTATGTTGAAGTGCCTACAACATTAGAAACTCATTCAGGAAATCTGAATAGTAAATGACGACAAGAATGCCACTGACATCGGTTGGCAGCCGTTTCTTCTAGTGTCTGCAACCGGGCGCAGTGGGGATTACGCGGTCCTCATCCTGGAAGTCGAGTAGCACTGACAGCACCCAAGCGTTTCGTAATCTCCTTCATACCCCTGTGCCAAGTCAAGGGTTGGCTAGCCCTTTGCTTCCACCACTCTGAATCGCGCATGGAAAACGGCACTCTTCGACAAACGATGTGTCGGCATACGCAACGCATGTCCCAACCAACGCAGCCTCTATTTCTGGGCACATTCTTCAACAGAATTACCCGTTGCCCAACCGAAAACTCGCTTTATAATTGCTGCGTTACTGACTCGGCGACAGAACCCTTCACGAGCTATGATTCCGAGAAAACGGTTTTCGAACCCCTGAAGACTCCTCGAACAGGCCAAGTCTCACAGCCAGAGATTTCATCCTGTCTGTGAATCAAATTTACCCTGAGTGGCCCAAAAGCACTGTGAAGCTGCTTGGTTCGTGTTTGCAATCTTCATCAGCACGCATCTGGAGAAATCCAGAAAGTTCATCACACGTGACCGTCCGGCTATGAACAAAAATACCTGTCCAGCAAAACCCCAAAATTGCAACCAAAAATCTGCTCAGTGGGTTTCAAGCCTGTACCACGCTACCTGATTGGCGGGTCAATCGATCATCACAACCAGAACAGTTACTGGGTCGTCGTTCGATGGGTCGGGCACACCAATCGCATCGCTCAAGTGTGAGCACGCTCGCCTGTTCAGACGTGAAAATTCAGATGCGTCCAACGAGCGTTGGTGGAGGAGTGGTTACACGCTCGCCTCGCACGTCGGATGTCCGGGGTTCGAATCCCGGCACGGTCATTGGATATGCACTGCTGATGAACTCGAGTCCGGTGCTTCCCTTTGGTGTGGACTCACCGAAGTAATTACACCAAAACAGGAACACGGTCATTCAAACGGGAATGGTGTGGTTATGAACAAAAGGGCGTGAACATCTGACCTTTGGGTACGAGCGAGGACCAGCATTGTGATCAACTCTCATTTAGTCAGGTTTTTCTTATTGCCGTAAACCATAGCCAGGCCACCATGGGGTCTTCGCGCATGAGGTGGCTGTCCTTCGGAACTCTGATCGATAAGATTCGCGGTGTTTCGTGTACCATACATCGGAGAAAACGGTGGTTTCTTCATGCGTTTGGCTCGGCTACACTGTACGTTTCCCTTTTCGTTGTTTATCACCAAGTCAGTACGCCAAAGTAGGAAACTACTATTGTCCATCGCGTCGATGAGAGATTAGACTCAAATGAATGTGATGTACAGAACCCGTCTCCTGTTCTAGTTGGCATGATGTTCAACACACCACAGTACATTTTCTTGAGAAAACCTACTCAGGAACCTGACAGGTAGATTTCATCGTTCAGTTTGCAGCGTTTCACCTTTGGAAGACCTTTTTCAAAGGTAATAAGAATGATTCTAGAGTGGTTTCCACCGAATTTTTCTCCCCCACCTAACGATTTTGCACGCATTTTGTCGAACTTTCTGCAACGTAAGGCCGCTGGTTTCCTACCCTTACTTCTGTAGTTTGCTGTGAAATCGAATATTCGAAGTAGGTGAGTCTGTTCTGCTCCGCAATGGACTCCGTATTCGGTACAAAGGCCAGGCTCTCCGACACTGGTGCCAAAAATGATCCTAACCGATCAGGGGCCTTGCTTCGAGAGCGAAGAGTTTAGGAATCCCTTGCAGAAGCTAAGTATCAGACAGCTAAGAACGACACTATACCACCCGCAAACAAATGTCCTAACCCAACGTAATAACCGAACGATCAAGGAGTGGCTGGCGGCCAAATGAGGTGACTGGGTAGTGAACTTGTCGACGGTCTTTCCAGCTCATCGTGCTTCCATACAGTGGACCACAGGCAAGTCCCCGTTTATGTTAATGCACGGTCGATATCCGCGCCTTCCGGTTGATCAAGAAATTGGGTTGTGGCCGGGAACACGCTTGTCTCCGGAGGAGCTAGAGGAAGAAAGAAAGAGAGCTCGAGAAAATTTGACCGTCGTTCAGGAAAGGGCTAGGCAGAAAACGGCAAGTAGAAGGGTCCAAACGTTCCCCATAGGCACGAAGGTCAAGTGGAAGGATAATCAGAATCCTGGAAGGAGTGGACTAGGGTCGCGGAAGCTGGGCAATCGATGGCAAGGGCCGTTTGTCGTCACCGACCGCCGGGGGAACGTCTATACCATTCAAGATGGTCGGGAATCGAAAGTAGTGAATGGGACGCAGCTTCGCAAGTGGCATGATACATCTGAAGAGCGGCCGAGTAAACCCGCTGCCGAAGCCGACCTGACGGAGGTAAATGAAAATCGATGGCATGCGAACGAGCTTTAAGGGGTGGTGTGTAACGATGATACTACCGATGGGGAGACATACGAGTAGTATGGTTTCTACTTGTAAATCCGCTTTGTGTCGCTTGGAAAAGGAAGATCTGTTGCGGAATTTGTGGAGCCGCTATGTAGCATTTGATCGCATTCAAGTGACAGTCAAGTATTATCCAGGAAAGTTCAAGAAGACGCGTTCAGGAGAAAATGGATGTTTAGTTTTTCTACATAAGATGCAAATGAGAGTTTTGCTTCTCTGTCCAATAGTCTGTAACTGGTCAGTTGGCATCTCATGTCCTCAAGCCTCTTTCGAGTTGCATGGCAGCTACGCACCGAGATGGTTCCACGGCGAAATCTTCTTTCATTTGTCCACAGCTGCACTGAACTCGTCGATAAGACGAGTCGTCCGTAAGGGATAGTCATGACTGTTGCAGAGTAAAGTTCTTCCACATCCGTGGTGCCACTTTTGAAGGGGTGATATTTAGCGATGTTAGTTAGAAAGGTGAAGTAGCACGTTAAACTCCCATGGCTTTGTTCGCCACGTACGACCCCATTTCGACGGGGCAACATCTTCTACGTTGAGGTGGAAACCTCATCGAATGACGGACACATCACCTTTCTTTTTGTGATCTTTCATGAATCCATGCCTACCCGAAGTGTGACCAGTGCCCAATTTAATCGCAACGGATTCCAGCTTACCAATAGGGTGAGCTCGTGTACAATCAACAGCTAACGGGTTGTATAATTCCTTGTTTAATCATGACAGCTCTTCAGATTAGACCGTAGTTAACCATCGTATCAATCGGATAACTAATGTCTGACTGAATTCATTCAAGCAATTTCCAAAATGTGTCAGTCAACTTCACGTTTTGCTTGACCTGTTCCGTTGGCTATCTGTGCGATCAGCGAGCTTGCCTAAGGAAGTTATCGGGTGGCTCTTTGATCGTCTGCCTGAGGTAGATTATCTACCCTCCCCCCATCAGAAGTGTTCATTAAAACACCCCAAATGATCCCAGATGTTCGCTACAAAGAACTAATTAGTCCAGGAGCTGTTTGTTTACTTTACAACTACTTAGCAGATCAACGAAAAACTTCGACGTCACTCAGACACCGACGAATTTATTGTTCTTAGTAACCAACATGACAAAATTTGATATAATCACCTGGGATTTTTACAAATTTCCTGTCTCGCCCAATTTCGGGGTTTGCACTATGGTACCCAAAACAGGTGTTAGGTTTACTCTAAAGAGAGTACATGTTTAAACGTGATATACTACTGATAAGGTCGACAGCCTAACGACTACAATTTCTTAATCCCATCCTAAATGGCCATTATCAGCTACCTGAAGATAACATTAGGCTTCACATGAGTGGAAAGAGATTCAGAAAAGACCAAGTTATTCACTGTAAGCTTGCATGTACAGTGTGATCGTTCTACGATCTCCTCAAATTGCAAAATGACGCAAAGATTAGACATTCATAGGCCAGTTCAAGTTCAGAGGTCGCACAAGTTTCTTTTGGATGCAAAGTTGCGGACACAGCAGTCAAATTCCAATCGCCTCTGCGATCGATAGTAGTCTGGATGGTGATCGGTTCAGAGGTACCGGGTATATGATGGTGAAGGTTTGCTCCTTTTCTATGACATGACTGGTTTCGGCCAAATGTGATGCAATCGCGTTTGAGTCTGGTTTCTTCCCACTACAATTCATAGATACGGGGTTTTGTTCTCGTATTGTGTCCGACAAATGCCTTGTCGTACGACCAACGTATGATGCTGGGCACGAGCATACGAATGAGTACACACAAAAGCTGGTGGTAGAACGTGGCAATTTATTCTTGAAGCAAAATTTGATAGTGGGGCTGGAGTTGAAGCCCAAACATAGATTAGCGGCCAAGTATGTCGTATCAACATTCGTATCGACACCGCTCCACTGTGTTCTACAGTATTGTTCAGTGGAACCAAATTGAAAGACCCTGTAATACCATCCTCCTGTTGAGCGGGTTCCATCCAACCCACCTCCCCAAATCATCGGGGAACGGCACTGTGGCAGCTACAAACACTGTACGACAAGTACGCGCTTATTACAGCTGATGATGATGATGATGACTGGCTGATTGGTCTCGGTTATATATGACACGGTGTTAAAATGTATGTTCATTATAACACAAAGTACACCCCCCCAGCAACAACAGTTCTTACAGGTAGATCGCTGTTGTATATTGATCCCCTGCTGTCGCGCCTGTACGTCAGAATGCGACTTATACCAACACTTTCAAAGGGGATCATGGATTTTTTTTAAACCTTTTCCAATTACTATGTCACAGTTGTCCACCTGGTAGTGTAAATCACTCAGATAAGGAAGCCACGGAACTACCGTGACCCCATCTCTAGCGCCATCGCCCAAATGAACTGTCACCCTTACGCTTTGCCTACACCAGTTTGATGTTTGTGTTTTAAAACAGGTATTCACATTTCTCTCAAACCTCTTTCACAGCACAAAATAGCCGAACAACAAATCGATTGGCTCCTCACGGTCCAGCTGCCATGGAACGTGAGTGTGATTGCGGAGAAGGCGAAACATCTTGAACAGGAAGCCCTAGAAGTGAGTTGACTTCAAAAAACTGGAGACTATTCTAATTTTTCCTGGAATTTGAGAAAATGTACAACCAGATGGTGCGTTTTTTTTCAAAGTTCCCAACATTTTTTTGAGGTTCAAAGTCGACCAAGCGTGACGGATGAGAACGTCGTCAAACCTGAACTATCTAATGTTTATTGTACTTAGCTCACTGAGCGATGGACACCCTAATCTGTGTAGATCGGGCTTACTGCTCCCGTTTCAAATGCCATTGCATCTGATGTAGTGTTAAGTTTCATATTGGGCCAACCTCCTGTTGGTTTAAATCATCCTGTGATCAACTAACAGAATATAGCATTGATAATTTATGCTGAAGGAAACTGCCTTTCAGTTTGATCAGTTTTCAAATTTGTATGGTGCATGCGCCCTACTGTTGTCTCAACTTAGAGTACTCAATTTCAAAATGTTTTCCACCACAAATTAGACACAGTGGACGCAGCACCTAACAGTGATTAAGGCGCAGCAGCAGATCTCCTCTAGAGAGCATTTTTTCAGAGTCAATCTTGTTCAATCACAGCTCGTGAGTGATGTTCACTGGTGAGCTATGCTCACCGGAATAGTTAATCGATAAACAAGTAAGATGAATCGAAAGTGGCAAGGGGTTGGTTATTGCCCGAGCTTGAGTAAGTGGAACTGCTCGTGTTCGAGGAAGTTGGGCTTAGTCACCTTTTGATTGTAAACCAAATGGTTGGATGTGTGCCCAAGTGACCTTGTCCCGTTTTATAGTTCAGATATTTAATGACAATACACGGAAATGAAGGGTAGGCAGTTCGAAACTGCAGAAGTTGGGCATCAGGAGGACGCCACAGAATCAATAGTGATTGACAGAATTACTTCGAATGGTCCACGGTGCAGCTGAAATTGTCCAAATGAGACGATCTGTCTGATGCAAAAACAAAGTATCACGGACAGACTTCACTAATCATTATTAGGAGAACCAGTTCCGAACGTAACGGAACTACATAACAGCCAATGGGATAACCCTTTTCGCTGAGACAGATTTCATTGGTCAATCTTCACTCGTCCTTGACAGATGAGTTGTATTCTTAGTATCACTGCTGTTTTGACCCGCTTGTACGCGACAGTGATCAATAGATCAACTGGCTCGCACGTTCATTGACTTTTTCTGGTTTGGGCAGGTGCACCGGGCGACCAGGTGGCTATCCAGACCGGGGTTCACGGTGATGAGTAGGCGTTAAGGGACTGTAGTCCAGAACAATCATTCTGAGAGTTTTTGACTACTTCTTAGGTTACCTTTTGCAAATTTGTC